CTTATGAATATGACAGTATATATATACCTATATATATATATATCTAATGATTACTGTATCTTATTTTGTATTTATATAAAATTAATTAATCTATTACATAGTTATTAATCTTACAATACATATTTTATTGGCCATGAAGGCTTTCTTTGTATTGATATTAATAAATAAATAAAAAAAAAAAATAAAATAAATAATATTTACATATACATATATATAAAAAATATACAACATACAAACATAATATATTTTTTATATATATATATAAATATTTCGTGATTTACAATTGTACAATAATATATTAAGCTAATTTTTATTTAAAAAAAAAATAAAAATTGTTGGCTGTTTTTAGAGTCACAAAAAGTAATTGTACGAGTAATAAGAAAAACGATTTGGGAAAGAATAAAAAACTAAAAGAACTAAAATTATAATAAATTCATTTATTCTATATTTAATTTGTTTATTTATTTTTAATAAAAAACTATATAAATTTGTAAATAATCTATAGAATAGAGCGTTTCACATAATAAACTAAAGCCAAATAAAACTTAGTTTTTAAGACAATTAATTAAATAAGACTTAATGGCTAAGGATCTGAAAACTGTTTATATTTAATGCTTTTCTTATATTTTGTTTTTTTTTTTTTTTTTACTTAATTAAATTTTTATACTTAAATCTGTAAAGAAGGTATATAGAGGTTGTTTGTAATTTATGTAATTTGAAAAAAATTAAATTATTTTTAAATTAATGTTTTAGGGGTTTTGTATAATTTAATATCATTTAACTTGTTAGTTTTATAAATAATAGCGAAGGTGTATGTACTATATAATTTTTAAGTATGTAATGTTGAATTTTTACCCATTAAAAGATGTTGATGGATATAAGCCTACATACATACATATATTCTTGCATTCCAGTTATTTTTTGTAAGTATGTATGTTGATTTAAGGATAATAATTATTAAATACATCTGCATGTTGTGCAATTAATGTCCATCATAATTATTTAAAGGATACGGACAATTCGACTAAGCCGAACATTATTTTTTTATTTTTTTAATTTATTAATCAAATAAATAATAGAAATTTGTTATTTATAAACTTTATATGAATGTATTTTTTCTAACATGCTCAAATATTGCTTTTTAAAAGAAAATTGATTTCTTTACCAATGTTTTACAATAACTTAATTTTTTTAAAAGCCAAACATTTAGATACCAATTACTTATATATGATAATTTTAAGCATTTATTATTTGTTATAATAATTATTTTTGTTAATGTATATATTTTTATGTGTATGCACCTTTATATATTTTTATATTTGTGTTTAATTAATATTTAAATTTAGAGTTATATTAAATTTATTTTTATGATTATTATTAATTTCTTTACAATTATACAAATATCAATATGTTTCATACTATTGCTAATTTTCAATTTTTCTTTTTTCTATTAAAATATTTGTTTATTTTCAAGTTTATAGTTTAATAACTCTATATTGTAACGCATTCTTCTGCTGCAAGAGTCTTTACAAATTTTTAAAATTCGAATTCAAAAAAGAATAAATAATTTTGCAGATAACAGATCAAGTCAACAACTTAACGTATATAATAAAAATGATTGGAGGGGTCTTTCAACTGGAAAATAAACTGTAACAATTTCACTATGAATGACAGAGAATTTCCAATCAACTTCAATTGTTTAAAATATTTAAGAATTTTTGCTACTGAAATAACTTTCATATAAATTTCAGTTCTACATTTAAAATTCATGAGCCGAATATAAAAATATACACATACATACATGTAAGTATGTACAAAAATTAATTCCAACTTGGTTTCTAATGACAACAATAGTAAACCAGAAACTCTATATGAATATAAAATGTAACACACTATCAACGATTTCAATTGGAGCCATATTTTCTTCACCCTCTCCAGTATTCGTACATTTTAGAATAAATAAATATTTTGAACCACTATAATATGTGTACTTTGTGTGTTTTTCTTTTCTAAAGCGGGATGGCAGAAGAAAAAATTACATTTTGATTTCTTCCAGCGAAAAAAAGTATAATATGTTTAATATAAAAAGGGCATATTGGAAATAATACATAATTTAATTGAGATGTTTTTGTATTAATTACTCTTTACGCGCCTATTATTTACTTACATCTGTTGCTGGTCGCCTTCGATTGGCAGCAGCGACTGCAGCAGCAGCTGCTGCAGCTGCAGCTTGTTGTTGCTGCTGCTGTTGTTGTTGTTTTGCTATAGCAATAGCAGAAATTGTACGTTGAGTTAAATTACTACCAGCCCTTGCCTGTATCTGAATATGTTGTTGCTGTTGCGAATGCTGAGATGAAGTAGATTGCTGCTGTGTTGAGGCTAGTGTCGTTTGTTGTTGACCTAAAATGACAGTTTGCGTTTGTTGTTGAGGCGTTGTTTGAGATGCTTGAGAAGCTGTTATTTGATTTAAAATACGCTGATGTTGTTGCTGTTGAGCCTGATGTTGAGTAGAAGCTTTAATTGTTTTTAATTGTAATTTTTGTGTCGACATTACAATAGGCGTGGCAGTTAAGTTTGCTGAAGAGGTAAGATTTGTATTAGAATTGGCTGAAAGTCAATCAAAAACATTAAACATTATGCCTGACATTTACATTCTACAAATTAGTTTTCAGTTACCATTTATAGGAGAAGCAGCTGCTATTTTTAAAGTGGAGCCACCAATCTGTCTTTGGGTTATTAACTGACGACTACCGGCCAGTTGTTTTGTACCCACGACTTGAATATTGCGACCGCCCTGCTGTATTGTACCCACTAGTTGTATAGATTGATTGGTTTGACTTCCTGTTCCCGTGCTACTAACGGTTATTGTAGCTTGTTGCGGTTGATGGGAAGCCTTTTGCTGTTGTTGAACACTGTGTTGCTGCTGGACAATAATACTGCCACCGGTGGCCGTATTTGCATTCGTTGTCGTAACACCAGTTGATGAAGTAGATGATGTCCTTAAAGTGGCAGAATTTAACTTTTGTACACCAGATCCTACCAGTTGAGCTGTAACAAAAGGGGAAGTTTCGGGTTTTGGTTTTTGTTTGATTCGATTGATTGAACTGGCAACATGAATTTTGTTATTAAGTTAATTATAATGAAAAAGCGTAATTTGAATTTCGTTTTCTACATTTAAAGAAACTATAGTTTACGATTTTCTAATCGAATACTAAACTGATATTGAATAAATTTTTAAAGAAAAATGGCAAAAATAATAATGGCATGTTAAGAAAAAGGGAAACAAAATGAAATGTTTTTGGGAAAAAGGATGGTTTAAAAGGGTAAGATAAAATGTAAACAAATAAATAATGTCGGTTGGAAAATAATGTTAATTTTTTGTTAAGAAAGAATACGAATACGAAGTTTTTTTTAAAAGAAATTTGTGTGTAAGTATAAAAGGAAACGAAAAAATATAAAATAAAATAAAATTAAATAAATTATATTTTCCTTAGGAACGTAAACTTTTTAAGAAAAGCGAAGAATTCTTTCATTCCAAAATACAAATATATACAAGTATGTGAATACTTTGCTTTTCATTATTTTATTCTTATTGCAAACTTAAAAAGTTTTATTTTTAATCGCATTTATAATTATAACAGCACTTGATTTTACACTTACCGATGGGTAACGTTAACATCGTAGTTCCGGTATTTGAAGTATTCGTACCGGCATTGTTTGCACCGGGTGTATTTGTCACCCCAGCACCCGAATTATTGGTTAATACCACAGTTTGAGTGCCTCCAGTTGCAGTAGCAACTGCACCAGCTGGTAAGTTAACAACGGTGCCAGTTGCCGATGAATGTTGTTGCAATTGCTGGGGCTGCAGTGTTATAGTATGTTGAGTTTGGCCTTGTTGTTGGTTAGCCGTACTAACTGGTACTGACACCAGGAGACTTCTTTGTTGTTGATGAGCTTGTTGGGCAGAATTGGGATTTTGTGTCGTAACAACAGCACTGCTGTTGTTACTTGCATTTGCACTACCTCCTGCGGCTACAACTGATACGGTTGAATTTCCAGACTGTTGAGGTTGCTGTACGGCATGTAAACTTCCACCCGTAAGTTGAAGAGATATAGGTTGGTTGAATCCAGGTATTTGCACTTGAACATTTTGTAGACCAGGGAAGTTGGCCATAGCCCCTTGCAATGTGGAAAAATTTATGCCTTGCAAATTTAGCGTTGCAGTTTGTGTTTGCGTTTGGCTTTGTTGTTGCTGATGTTGTTGAGGTTGTTGCTGTTGCTGTGGAGGAGGAAGATGTGGTGAGGGCGACGGCTGTGGGTGCGGACTAGACATAGGCGAATGTATTGATGATGTGGCGGGGGATTGTACTAAAGTTTTTGTAATATACTGTTGTTGTGGCGTAGCTGGATGGTGTTGTTGAGGCGACATATTGGGAAGTGCCGTGCCAGCTGTTACGCCACCACTATTTAGTCTCTCGAGCAGACTTTGATTTTGGCTCTGAGACGACTGAGAGTGCTCTGAACCGGAAGGTGAAGGTGTTGCAGCATTCGCCAACAATGCGTTTAAGGTAGTCGAATTAGAGCCGCTAACACCTGCGCTTGAAGTGGCTTGGGGTACAGCAAATCCACTAGCATTGGAAGCATTTGAATCAGATCCTGGAGAGGGGGCCGCTACGCCAACAACTATAGCATTAGGTGGACCTTGAGATGTACTACTCAGAGAATCTCTTCTAAGGGCATTGGCTAAAACACGTTGCTGTTGAATACCACTATTGAGTATTTTTATACTACCGCCACTTGACCCTGTTCCACTCACCGTGCTCAATGTATAACCTCCGAAATTTGTGCTATTGGTCATTATAGCAGGGGGAGATGCCAATTGTGATGCTAAAGCTGACATAGACACACGGACCGTTGTTTGAGGTTGTTGATCTTGTTGATGCTGTTGTGTTTGTGTGTGTTGCTGTTGATGGAGATGAATTTGCTGTTGGTGGTTTTGTTGTTGTTGCGGGTGATTAGATGCCTGATTGAGATTCACCGCTATCAAATTGCCTGCAGCATTTGTTCGAAATGTTGCGGTCGTGCCGCCACTCCCAGCTCCACTGCTGCTTACAATATTAATTTTTCTACCCGGATTTAGAAGGTTTTGCAAAACTTCGTTTTGTTTACGTTGAGATTGATTTGGCACTGCTTGGGATTGTGTAGCTTGAACAAAATTCTCAGTGGCAACAACTGTCGCTGTCTGCGACTGCTGTTGCTGCGGATGAGATGAATGTTGAACCAAAGTAACGTTTTGTTGTTGGGTTGGCTGCTGTTGTTGAGTTTGCCCGGTAGATGTTGTAAACGTGCCACTTGCAACAGGAGTGCTTGTCATCGCAGCGGGAGCACTATTTAATAAACTTAATATGGAAGCATTACTTGAACTTTTCAACGTCGTAGCAGTATTGGAAGTGTTTGAAATAGAGGCAGCTAAAAATTAAAATAATTATAGAAATGTTAATATTTATTTCAAATGGTTTAATAAATTTAATTACAGTTTTGTTGTTGTTGTTGCTGTTGCCATTGATTTGCACTGTTCATAATGCTGGTAACGATAGCGCTAATAGCTGGATTAGCCTGTAAAGTGTTTGTAGTACTATTTGAGCCTCCAGAATTTCCAGTTACAACATTTGTTGTGTTGGTAGAACTATTGGCAGTGTTTTGTTTATGAACTAACTGTTGCTGCTGTTGCTGATTTGTGTTAGTCACAATAGGTGCTGCCTTCAATTGAGCTTGCTGTAGATTAGATAAAAGAAATTAATACCACAAACAAAAACATATATAAATTTTTACAAGTATTTTTGCTTACCAAAATTGGAACATTAGAACTAAGCTGTGTCCTAAGTGCTGAATTCTGTGCCGATTGCACATTATTCATTTGGGTGGTTGTAATGACTTGAGCCTTTTGCTGTTGATGGGACGATGCAGGTTGTATCGTAATCCCAGCATGCTGCAGCGCTTGAGCTGTTTGCTGTTGATGTAACGTTTGTGAACCAGTAGCTGAATGTTGTTGAACTAGTACCAAGGAACCATTGCTTAAACTAAGTTGATGTGTCGTTGTAGATGCGCCACCACTACTAACTCCTACAACTCCCGTTGAAGAAGGACCAGAACTTGTTATTTGCTGCAGCTGTATATGGTGAGACCCACCTGAGATGCTATTGGTATTAGTTGTAGTATTGTTGCTGTTATTATTAGAAGTAGTGGCAGTGAGGGTAGCATGCTGCAACTGCACAGTTGCACCGTTTGCATCTATATATTGTGTTGTAGCCACTTGCTGCTGTTGCTGCTGATGATGATGTAATTGCTGGTGTCTGAGAACATGCTGAACGGCAGCTACATTGTTTCCAGTAACATTTACTATATTTATGTTTTTAGTTACGTGTTGCGGTTGTTGTACTGTTTGTGACTGAGTTTGAATAGTGTTGGTATTTAAATGTTGTACGGTAGTTGGTAATAAATGCTGTTGTTGTCCGTTAGGACCAACAACAACCAAATGTTGCTGTTGATGCGGCTGTGGTTGTTCAGTTTGCTGCTGGGTAATTGTTTGCTGTATCACCTGTTGTTGTTGCTGTTGCTGCTGAGCTGCCAATAATGCTGCTTGTCGTTGTTGCTGCAATTGTAATTGTTGTTGTTGTAGTATGAGTGCTTGTCTCTGTTCTGGTGTTATTCCTGTGTGTGTAACTTTTGGTAAATGACCTGGAACCAAATGGGTTATCTTGACAGCTTTGCGCCCCTCCTCTGTAAATATTTCCGTAAACTGTTGTATATAACGATTTGCATGTACTCGTGTGCCCAAAGGAAAACGGCATGATTCCCCATTTCGTATACCTTCCCTGTAATCACGATCCACATACAATTCACCCAGGTACTCTGAATTTGATGGCCTTTGAAAAATCGATAATTTAATATGATAAACAACACGTCGACCCTCGTTGTCATCACGTTCTGTTTCCAAAATATACTCTTCAATCAATTGCGGCTGACAGTCAGTAGTCTCTCGAGGCCTTTCATTCGTCTTTGCGTATTTTTCAACACTTATTAATTGATCTGGCACCTTAAGATTTGCTGGATAGTCTAGTCTTGGTGGCCGTATAGGTCGTATTACATCTTTCGGACGTTTCGGTACTTTCGAGGCAAATGAAGTTAACATTGTTGCACTGACTAAAGGATTGACACCAGCATTGGTAGATGATATATTGGCAGCAGTTGCTGCGGCAGTAGACACCAGTCCACTTCTCGGCCTGGTGCGTAATCGGGTTAGGTAATCGCATAATTCAAGACCATAGTGATGAGTAAACTGATCCAATTTTCTCTTGCGATTTATTGAAATTTGTGTATATTTCTTCATTTGTCGTCTCAATTCGTGAGTATTAAAAAGCTGCCTTTCATGTTGCGAATTAATAGCATGCCGACCAATGTTTGGATCTGGGTCTAAACAAAGTGGCTCCGCTGTAGCTAATACCATTTGACTCTCCAACGCTAGTTTATCTTCAGGGGCGCAAGCAGATGAGTTTTGATTAAGTGTTGTTGCAACATGTTGTACATCAGCGAACAGTGTTGCATTGGTGGGTCTTAACAACACATGCCTCGTATCACAGATATTCGTTGAGGTGGCAAATGTTTGTCGAAAGTCACGTATTTGTGCCACCACACAACCAGCATAAAAAACATTGGGTTTAAAGAAGATACGTGGTGTCCCTGTGCTGTCGTCTTGGGGAGCTTGTAAAGTTATTGTGGTAGCTGCGAGCATATCCATTAAAAAGTCTGGTATTACTTCACGATCAATGCACTGCAGCAGCTGATCATTTTCATATGGCCATCGCAATACTTCAACTAAAGAATATTCACTAGCTGAGTTAGACAAATCTGTGAAAGAGCCGTCATGATCACAAGATGTCTTTTGTTTTAAATCTGGTGGTATCGATGATGGATATAATTTACTTGAATTAAAACTACTGTTATTAATCATGATGGTTGAACTGCGACTAGAAACGTTTTTTAAAGACACCGAGCCCATCGATGAGGATATTGATGACGACAGTGAAGAAAGGGAGGTCGACAGCTCCCCTTCTGTGTCAGGTATTACTTGGCGATCATCGTAGTATAAACCCAACGCATAGCCTTTATTTCCAGGGTATAAATTAATAACAATTGTATTAAGTCTTTCACATTCAACAACACGTTCTAATATAAAAGAACGAGTACGTTGTTTAAGCTAAAATTAACAGAAATAAAAGCAAAAATGCACTTATTTAAAATAACATATTCAATTATTATACTATGCGTGATAATTTTGTTAGTTACATTTGGAAAAGGCTTTTTGGTTAGTAAATATATTAATTCAATTCATACGTTTTAGGAGCACTAACTCAAAAATATTAAAAATCTCCTACAATATTACTATACTATAAAGGTTACACCTTTAATGTACATATGTATACAAATTTTTTTCTTCAAGAGGACTAAATATCAAAATGAAGAAATTTGGCGGGTGATATCACTTTTTTATTTCCATATTCGGAAAAAATATTTAAAAAGTTTTTCATCGTTGGCCTTTGTTATTATACTATGAGTGGTAATTTTGTAAGTTACATTATAAATATATTTTGGGAAAATGCTTATTGCTTACCGAATAACAACTTTCTACGATTAACGATAAAAATATTGTAATTTGAGGTAGGAAGACTTTTTTTAAATCCTTTTTAATGCGCTCATAAAGATTGTAACCATTTCTATGCATTTTTTGTAGTTTGCAAAATATAGAATTTTTTTCGTAAAACTATTTTTATATATAATTTTTATATTTATTGGAAGATTTTTTAAATTTGTAAATTTCAAATGCTGTGTACCCATCTAGTTGGATTTTGAATCTATATTTTGTATGGCTTTTGGACAATAACGAAGTTAATGCTCTTTTTGTATTATTTTCACCACTTTTTATTATTTTTTGAAGCAATTCGTTATATCGAGTACAAAATTAACTCATTCATTCGTAATATAAGGTTCTCAATGGAAAAAATGACTGTTCGTTAAATCCCGAATTCGCTAAACTGAATATTCGTTAAACCGGGAAACCACTATATCGATTCAATTCATACGTTTTAGGCATACTAACTCAAAATTATTAAAATTTCATACAATTATACTATGTATACACATTTCCAAACGTTTAACACATTTCAAACAGCTTTAATTCAGAGTTATTACATTAGGTTTCTATTATTTTTTCTGTTTTCGACTTAAAAAATAAAATATATAAAGTAATAATATTGCCGAATTTTGGTTATACCTTAAATGTAGTTATGTATTTATATATTGAGTCTAACATACTGTTACATATATTACTTTTATGTTAAGTAATCCACAAAAATACTTCCTCAAAATTCATTTTAAATTTAAGAATTAATTTACTGCAAAAATGAAATTAAGCCTTTATTTCTCTCTTATTATTGATATGTACACCCATATACATAGTTCTAAAGATTTCGCTTCAGCTGTTTATGTGCAATTGAATTAAATATAAAACGCTAAAGCATTATATTTCGAAAACACATAAAACTTTACACGAACATTTCTCACGACTCGATTCGAATTTGTATGTTAAATATATTGTATTTCGAAAGTTTTTCTTTCAAATTGGTACACGGAGTTACCTCCTTGACACATATGTATATTTGAAAATTCGTCCCATTAATTTCCGTAGTTCCTGAGTTTATCGTTACTAACAAATATTACACTTTTATTTGTATAGATGAAAAATTCAATAAATTAATCGCCAATATACGAAACAAAATATATGGAAAGACTTAATTAAGAAACTAAATAAAGTGTCTATGTTTTCTAATAACTGTACTATTATAACTCTGTACTATTAATATATTGATAATAAAAACTTCTATACTAATAATAAGGGACAATATACATATATAGACAAACAATTAAGAAATAATTTAAGGAGAATTGGTTAAATGTTTCCCATTATAGCAGGTTTTATGTACATATTTACCGCGATAACAGAAAAATGTTCAAAACTTAACTAAATTTTTAGAGATTTTTTGTCAAAAAAAAAAAAAAAATTGTGTATTTAAAACTTACCCCAGCTTCAGCAAACAAATTTAAATCATTTGCTAACAACTGTAAATAGTGATCTTTAATTCGTTCATGTATGTTGAAAAATTTGTGTGATGAAGTATTTTCCCGCTTAGAAGCACTTGTTGTTGAGGATGATGAAGAAAATGTATTAGTGCTTGTTGTTTGTGCACTAGAAAAGCCCAAACTAGAAGAAGTCGATACTGATCGTGATAGCGACGGTGAATGTGAAGATTTCGAAGAAGTTGATTCCTTAATCTTTTGCCTCTTACTAGGTGACGAGGTAGGCGATCCAGTTGTCGCAGGCGAAGTTAAAAGATGAGAATTGTGAGCATGATGATTGTGCTGATGTTGATAGTGGTGTTGATGATGGTGATTCACCGATGATGAGGATGTTGAAGAGGAAGGACGCTTATCAGCCTTTTTGTTGCTATTGTTGTTATTGCTACTATTATTGTTATTATGAGAGCCACTGTTATGTACACCTGGAGGCGTTGATAGTAATAAATCCGGTACAATAGGGGATGGTGAGGTAATTGTATTAAAATTAGAGTATGAAGTTGATTGTACCGCTTGCGGAGATGGATGCGATAGTGGTATGTGTTGTTGTATAGATGGATTGGGAGGAGGGGTAGGTTGGGCCAAAATTACGATATTGTCCAAATTAATGGAAGAATCTAAATTTTGATTTTGACAGCCGCTATTCGATATTGAAGACGTTGGTAACGGATTTGTTGGAGCCAGTAACTCTACCGGAGGTTGATCTGTTGGGTTTGAAGGTTCCTCATCGTCCTCAAATATGCAAAGAGGAGGTTGACTGGGGATTTGGGAAATATTGCAATGCAATAAACTGTTATCTATAAGTGATGACTTTGGAGGAAACGTAACAGAAAATGACGATGATACCAATGACGGTGGAGTAGGTGGAGATAATTGTTGTTGAGCCACATTTTGTATGCAGGAAGTCGTTGAATTATTATTCCCACCTCCAATATTAACAGCTGTTGAAGAGACATTTGTACCCTGCAAAGCAGATTGTAATTGATGGTACTGAAATTTATGTGGCTGCTGGGATGTTGATGAATTTGGTAAGTGTTGATAGGCTAATTGTTGTTGCTGTTGCCTAAGTATTGTCGCCGTTGTGGGATTATTTGAAGTCAACGTTTGTACAGTACTCCCTGCGCTACTATTAGCAGAGTTAGAGCCTTTAAGCTTTTTCAATGTGTCATTTATTATGAACTATAAGTAAAAGTAATCAAAATAAATTTATATATATTATGGCGTTAAACAAATTTAAATTACTTACATCAGCTTCTTGACATGATGAATCCAAGCTTTGCATTGTGCCAGTAGTGACTTTCGTTTACAAATCAATTGAAGCATTGACATGGACTTTTATAATTCGATTGATTCAATTTTCATTAAAAGGAACTTTTTCTATAAGCACATATGATTTCAGATTTAATAATTAAGTCCAGAATTTGTAAGCCTTCGTAGATACCTTTTTACTTTTCAATTCACATTCACAATACAATATAAAATATTTTGTTAGTTTTTTCATCTGGTGCCATTGACACTAATAATCCTTTATAATTCTTCGTGTTGTTTTTGTTTTTTTTTTATAACAAATAAAGTTGACGTATAAAGGCTCCAATAGAAAAAGAGGCAGACAAAACAGAGTTGCTTATTTAAAAATATATATTTTTAATAATGTTGCTGCAGAGGTATATTATGTTATTGTTAGTTTTGATAGATATTGTAATTTTTATCGCTTAATGCCTTTTATTAGGATTAATCTCAGCTCTATTCATTAACTTGTTTGTTATTCTATAAAAAGTTCATTCTGTAAATTAAATTTTTTTTCGTAATTTTTGTTATGCTTAGATATTATTTGTCACATTAAAATAAATAAATGACATTAATTTCTAAAATTTTTGCAACACTTATATCCATATATAATAAGGAAATCAATGAATTAAAATATATAATTAGGATTTAATTGTACATAACACAGTAAATTTTTATGATTTATTTTTTTTATACATTTTTGGGTCCTTTACACTCATACATTGTTATCCATCGTTTATACGCACTTTTTGCACATCACTTTTTTCATTTTATAGAAAAAAGTGAAATATTATTTAAATCCAAAGAACTACAGACAAGTATTGATAATATTTTTTTACTAATTATTAGATTGATTAATTATTATAGTATTTAATTTGTAAACTTTTAAAAATTATATTTTTCGTTTTTTTTCAAGGGAGAAAATTGTTTTGCAATTGTTTGCATTTGACACGATTTTTTGTGATTTTCCTTTCTTGCTTCTTTTACACTCTTTTGAATTATAACACTCAAGCTCTCTTTCATTCTTCTTTAAACATATTTGACAACCACAGCTGATGGAATATTGCCATTTGGATTTAATAAAAACAAGCATTAAACAAAAGAGAAAAATCCGCAAATATATCCAATAATGATTTTATATAAAAATATTTACTTTTTTATTTATTTTATTTCTTTTCATATCATTTATAATCAAATTGTTTTATAACTAATTTTGGTGTGGCAGTGCTGTAAATAGCGTTCTTTCTTTTGTTTGACATTTCATATTGCATGTTCACCTTTTTTGTTTCCCTTTTCACATTTTTTTTTGTAATTAATTTTATTTTTGTTTTCACAATTTTTGTTGTTTGTTTTATTTATTACTTACTTTTTATACCTTAATATTTCACATTCATTGTTTATGAAATACAATTTATTTTAAATTACTTTATTTATAACAATTTTTACCATTTTTAATATTTCCTCTTTTTTACTTTTCTTTCAATCTGTCAAATTTGTTTTTTTTTTTTTTTTGACAGCAAGAGTAGCGTAGAAGGAAAATATACTGAAATGCCGTTTTTCCTATTAAAACATGAATATATTTTAAGAAATTTGTTAAAACTTTTCAGTTTTTACATTGTATTTCTTAATTTGTACACTTTAAACCGTATTTATTAAAATTATTTGTAAAATTTTTGTTTCGTTAAACCCACGAAAATTCTTTACACAAAGCGACCTGCGAAACGATGATTGGTAAGTGTTGCCAACAGTTATGAGATTTGTGACATATTTGTGATAATTTTGAGACAATGGATTGTCAAACGACACTGGGTCAGAAACCTGCGGCTATTATGCTGAAAGCCATCTGAACCTAGCCGCCGATAAAATTTTAAAGCCGGCGCCAAAAATTTGTCTGTTTTGTTGGGTTGAAAATTTTAATAGCTTTTTTGAAAATTTCTTTTAACGTATATAGATATAATATAGATTTTTTAATATTTCGGTTTGTATATTGTTAGGTTTTACATACTTAATCCTCCGTTTTGTATTATGTTAAAAAATTGTCGGCAATACACTACTTATACTGTTTTTTTCTAAACGGTTTTAGGGGTACTGCTACTATATGAATGCAATGCCAACGCCTTCATAACAAAATTACATATTCATAATAATTACAGTCGGTATTCTAAACAAAACAGTTTTAAAAAATTATGTTATTCATAATCATTTTAAACTGTTTAATAAGTATAAACTTTTTTAATTTTACTCTGGCAGTGCATAGATTAATATAATATAAAGCAACCTTTTGTCCGATTCAATTGTTTAGCCATATTTAACGGGTCCTGCTTCCAAATGGGAACTTAACATTTAAAAAGCATGTAAGAGAGCCAGGTAAGCTTTAAAACATAATTCAGGAAGCTTGGAAGTTAAATTTATCTTATTGAAAACATAACTTTTATAATGTAACTAATTTGTTATGTATATTGAAAAATGTAAATTGTTTTAAACATATAAAAGACAAAATGTTATGCTCAATTACAGCGCATTGACCACCTAAATATATTATGCATATATTTTTAAGGAGGAACGAAAATATAATGTTGGCCATTTAAATAAATAACCTTCTTCAGATAACACAATTTTGTTAAGAAATTGTGTTTCGGTCTGTAACGGCAGATTTCAAGTTTCAGCATGTCAAACAACATTTATTGTGTGGCAACATTAAATATGAGTAAGTTTGAATAGCACTGGCTGATCGTTATAATATAAATTTTAAAAATTATATTATGTATAAATTTTAAAAAAATATTTTAAGATATTTTATTTATTACATAGACTCACGTATGATTTTGTTTACACCAATTTGCCTGTTTTTTCATTGCAGATTAAGAAATCTCTTTTTCATAGCACAAGTTACAAAAATTCTCTGTTTAAACTGTCTGATTTAGATTGCAATTCCCGTAGCCCGCTTTTCTTCAAACTTGGCACTAAGGATTACCTTATGACAATGCAATGTTATGTTCGAAAAATCGAAATTAAATTAAAAAATTCGGAGTTATGCTAGTATGTTGTTGAAAATTTCAATTGATTTTTTAAACCACTCTCGGGGGAGTTTTCCAGTTTTTTTCCTACCGAGCGCGTCCCCGGGTGGCGGATAGGGGGTGGTGATGGACCATCTGTCCTCTCCCAGCTTTAATTTCACTTAAGCTGAGGGAGGGCAGATTGTCCACCACCTGGGAATATTATATTCCCCGCGGACCAAAAAACTGGAAAAAAACAAATATGGAAAATAAAAATAAAAAGATAAAAGTTACGGTGCAGGGCCTAAATAACCCAGTACCGGCGGCAAGTGTTGATCTAATCGCGAGTCACGTGTCGTCGTCATCCTGCAATCGTGAGCAGAATACTACTACGGAGGTGGGTACCTTGGCCTCCGTGGCGGACAATGCGTCAAGTGTACAGCATGCCGCTGGCAAAAATATAGGGGTGAAAGAGAAGGATGTACTCGTAGAGAGCTCTAAGCTACCCCAGCCTTTAAATATAGGTGAGGGTTCCGACTCTGAATCCTCAGATGATAATAATAATAATACCATTATAGCAAATCCCAAAAAGGATGAAGTAGAGCAAATGGTGAAAGAGGTGAGTGATAGCATAGCTGAACTACCTATTACTAAGAAAAGACTTTCTGGAGCACAGAGGAGGAAGTTGAAAAAGATGCTTCAGGAAATCATAGTTAGTCAATCCCACGACACTCCAAAGGAAAAATCGGACTAATGCCATAAAAGCCATTTTCTAAATAAACTTATTTCTTTTTTTAGTATTTTCTTATTTCAGTTCAATATTATTAATGAGTTTTACTTTGAAAAATTCAACACTCCACCTCCACTATGTTCTTGTGACAAAATTAGTTCATATGTAAATAAATTCCAGCATTGAAATTTTATAAAATTTCTTTATTTTTGTCTATTTTTTATTTAAAAAATGCTTATTAATTTTTTTTAGCAAATAATAGGAATTCATTATAAAACTTATATTATACAAATTCTAAAAAATTATAGGAAATATTTTTATTTTTAAGATCATGTTTTAATCTCTTATTGTTAGAATAATTTATATTAGTATAATTAAAATATGAGAAAAAATTAAAACAAAACATTTCATTTAAAACATATTACTCCAAGAGAAGGTTAAGGGTATACACCTTTTTATTACTATTAAACTTAAATAAAGCAATTTATACAGATCAGAATGTAACTAATTAAAGTTACAAGTTATTAAAGCAAAAACACAAAATGATTTTTCGTTCATCATGAAAGAATGGAAAGGTAAGGGAAAATTCAGATGCAGTAATACTTAAAGAGTCCTATTTCCTTCATTTTTTGTTACGTTTCATAGCTAAAGCAAATAGAATTGTGGTATAACTGTTCAAACAAAACACATTTTAAATTGAGATCTTTCATAAATATACATAGTAGTAGGTATGTACGTATTTAAAGTATATTTTATAGATTATATCGATGATTTAATGTGGGACGAAATACATCCTTTGTGTTTATAAATGACTGTTTACAGCTCCAATGTTTCATTTCGTCTAATTAAAACATATCAACGACGGGGAAAGTCCATTTTGAGTTAAACCAACGATATGTTGTATTTTATATATTTTTGATTTTATAAGATAATTTTAATATTCAAACAAAAACTAAGTTTTTATTCAAATATCACTTTGTAAAAATATCACTCCAAATTTTTTTAATAAATTGCATTAAATCAATGCTGGTTTTTTAATATAATTTTCCTAAAAATTTATCTTGTTTTTTTTTTAAGTTTTACATTTTTAAACAATCTCCTTTTTCGCATGAACTGCATATATTAATTCTCTTAATAAATTCATTTGCGGACTTCTTTACTTTCTTGTAATTTCTTCCATGTATCTCCCAATGCTTTTGCGAAATGGTCATCTACTGATGCTAAAACTTCAGCACTTGCATTGCCGGTATTTGTAGATTTCCAGCTTGAAGTTATAGGGGAGGACGGTGAAGGAGAAGACGTATTAGAAGAATAGGTTGTAGAGTTAGAACTGACATTATGATTAGTGGTTGAAGTAGGAGAAGCTGGCGGAGTTGGATTATGGGATTTAACATTTTGCAACCCAGGTTCAGTTTTTATACGCATTATAGCAGGCAAATTGGGTGAGGGATTTGAAACTGGCACGTTCATTGCCGGTGGCGAACGACGTGGTGATGATGATGGAGAATTATCAATTGAGGCAAAATGAGAAAGAGCCACTCCAACTGCCGATAACTGTTGCTGGTGCTGATGCAAAGGCAACGGAGAAGCTGTTCTGGATCCAACCGCATTAAATATTGGTGTTTGCGTTGTGTTGCCCAACTTAACACCTGGTATTGGTGCAGGTGAATGTGGTGATGTTAATGGCGTAATAGCTATTAACGACGAAGACTTCTGCAAGCTAATGGCCTGTTGCTGTTTTGGCTGTCCACATGGTCTAACCACCAATGGCAAAGGAGGAGAATTTGGTCTTGTTGATACTTTAATTTGGGTTGCTATGGCAGCTGGTGATAGTAAAACAGAATTAGATTTAGGTGCTACATGTACTTGGTTCTGGTGTGCATGCTGTGAGTTTTGCTGATGATTGTCTGTGGGTAAACTAGTTGGATAAGCAGGTGGAGGATTCAATTCTAATTGTGTTAAGACCGTATGAGAGGGCAAGGATGATGCTCCAGTTGTTGGCGGCAATGTTGGAGATGGACTTCTGACATGAGCTCTTGGTGGCTGTGCATTTTGGGGTTGGGGTGATGGTGTTTTCGTCGACTGATTAGCAGGAGATCGCTTTGAAAATAATGCGTGGTAGCCCGGACCCAGGGAACGTCGAAAATGTTCGTCAATAGATTCTAAAATAAAAATGTTTAATATATTAACATTGCTTAAAACCTCGACTAGTTTTTAATTTATTTTACCACAACTACGATTGTCATTTTCTCGATTCGCTACTAGAGGTGACTCTCTAACATCTCGTTTTGGTGGTGCTTGTGTAATAACACTTGGACGCGCTAACGATGAAGCAAATTGGGAACCAGGTAATGGCTCCCGATAGGGTGGTGGTGGTGAATTACGTTGTTTTAAAGTACCAACAGACATATCTAATGGCGCATCGTCACTTTGAACAGAGTTAATATGTTGCAAAGCCTGAGAGTGTGCAATTTGACCCAAATGAATTTGTCCCGCTAAAGTAGAATGCGGCGGTGGAGATGGCGCTGAACAACTTGCAGATTCACTTAAAGGACGCATACTTGCTGCAGCGGCGGCAGCCAT